AACAACATTGCCGTAAAGATCATATTTTCTTATATAATCGCTGATTTCAGAGAGTAACTATAAAGAGAATGAAACTAACGAATGTAAGAAGCTTTGTGCTTTTTGGCCCTACTAACTGACCGCTTCAGGACTTTCCTCTGTTCGTATCACAACCTTCGCGCCCTTCTTTCGACACCAATCCATCACATCCTTGAAAAGTGGAATATGTTCTCTAGAAATATCCATACAAGTCACACAGATTTAGCTTTACAAAAGCCATTCACTCAGAATTTCGCAGAGTCAATTTGATCAGCTCGGTTGAGGGTGTCTTTGACACAATCACATCCTTCTTCGCTGTCCTACCCGTCGTTTCGTCTCTGATCACAACGGCAGCCCCATCATTAGCCAAACGGACATCAAACATAACAGTATTACGGTTTTCTAATGCCTAAAAGCAGTTATTATTTACAAATTCCTTTTGTATGGTTATGCAGAGATGATTCACCAGTTTTAAAGCAGCCATGCTGTTTTCCGGTGCATCCTTCGTTTCTCCAATATTTCCTCCAACATTGAAGCCACGAAAGAACGTTGCACTCTATATAGTGGCGCCTTTTAGACAAAATAAAGATAGGAGATTAAAAAAAGTTAAAGGGATTAGAAGACAAGTTTCGTTGCCCTTGGCCCTCCAAAAAGTTAATTTTGAGCTACGAGTCTTAAACGTCTGGAATTGTTTGAAAACTCATGCAAAAATTATTATACTTCATTCCGCTTTTTGTGGTTTCTTGCGCTACAGCCTAATAACATCTTTGAAGGGATATAAGAATTTCGATTTGGGAAAAAATAATGCCTGTGGTTTCATTCAAGTACTAAAACATCAAAAAGTAAAACTTCATGGGGAAGAAGTTCATTGTAAATTGCCTAGCCGTGATAAGTAGTTCTTGATTACCGTACCCAAGCAAGCTAAATTCCAGCGAACTCACGCGAATATAGGATGACAACTTATAGGGTAAATGCACTTCCCAATCAGTATATTAGGCGCTGTGTAGTCTTGATCGTAACTCAATATTAGTGAGCAAGCATATTACGCCAGATCTCAGACAACATTTCATACCGAGAATGTTATGGGAAAAGCATGAAACATCGATTGTTGGAACGGCAACTGTTTTTTTTTTCTTACAGTTGAATATTGTTTGCGATTTGTGCAGTTAAAAGCGGAAAAGTA